GTTCCACCGAATCTGACGTGGCAGACCCGCGGAGATTTGTGGATAACGTGGCAGTGCTGACGTGGCGCTGACATTGCAGGGATGACGTGGCTGCGTGACACACGGAGCTACTGGTTTGTATTAATCAAGCTCAAAAGCAATACAAACAACAAAACAAGGAGGAGGAGAAAACTTCTCAACTCAACTCAACTCTCACCCTTAGCTCTCTCTCTGTGTTTCTCTCTATCTCGTGGTGCACATCAGCTATCAATGATACTCTCTATTTATAGCTGATGTGGGAGACAAGTTTCTTCTTTAGTCAACAATGGTGGGCAACAATTTCTTTGGTTAGGCACCCACCATGCAACCACCATTGACTTTAGCCATGTCTAACATGGCTGCCACCAACCATGTTGTGTCCACACCCAACACTATCCGCATTATATCCCTATAACACCACTATGTTTGTACCTTTTGCCTTTATTTTCCATAAATGAAAGTTTGGGACACAGGAACAAAGATCTTATTTAATATTATGATAGCGGTTATTTTTTTTAAAAAAATTTATTTAAAAAAATATTAAAATAATATTTTATAATATTTATTTTTAATATCAGCACATAAAAACAATCTAAAAACATAAAAAAAAAATTTGAAGCAAAAAGAAATCATTATTTTACAAAAGCATTTTTCTACTGCAAAAACAAACAGAGCCAAAGGATAATAACCAAATGGAAGTCTCCAAGGATACTTAAATTAAAAATGTATTTAGCTCTCACTCAACCATCTGCAAAATTAAAATTTAGTTATTTTTCCCTTCCAAAAACTCGGATCAAGTATAAAAGGCTAGCAAACTAACTATTTGCATAGATCAAACTAAAGTCGAATTTTTCTCATGACACTAAAAAGGATTCTCTTTCAAACTTTATTTTTATAATATCATGGATATCTCAAGTTACCTTATCTCATAAATTACAGGATCAAGCCAAGCCATTAAATCAAATGCAATGAGAAGATTTTTAAGGATATGGATTTCAATACGAACTGAATGGAAAAGGCATACCTGTCCAATGTTTGTTGGCAGAGTAGCTCTCTCAATAGCTTTTGGGGTCCATATTTTTATATCATACTCGATTCCACTGCTAGCAAGTGCCATGGTATGGGGATGGGGCTCAGTACAATTTACCACATCCTTATCCGCTTCCATAACACGAATAAGCTCTCCTCCCCTTTTCTTCCAAATAAAAATCCGACCACAGTCAGACCCGCTAGTAACATACTCACATCTTGGCCCAAAAAAGCTCACACCCTTCACAGTCTCACAATTTCTGTGGCCTATATAAACTTGGGGGGCATTTTTCCCATCCAGATCCATATATGACGAAGAAGCTATAGATCCAGGTTCTACTTTGCTTGTATCACTGTCCATTGAAACCACAAATGAAGAGGATGGAAATGGAGGATTTCTCAAACCCATGCTTTGTGTAAAAAGATAGATGAACTCGTCACCATATGAGACTAGAAGCTCACTCTGATCTGAGAACGACAAGCCTGTGATTCCAGTATCTTCATTGCCAATCAAATGCTGAGGACAGAAATAACATGCAGGTTGACCAAAATCACTTGACCCATCCCACTTATACTTGCGGATGTCATAAAGTTGAGCAAACTTATCCATTCCCCCAACTGCAAAGAGATTTGGGTTCCTTGGATCAATAGCAATAGCATTTAGAGGGACATATGGACGATACCCCTTCAAATCATCAACACAAAGGCAAGTAAAAAGTTCTGTGGCGGATCTGGTTCTCAAATCAAACTGAAATCACAATGACACTGTCACATAATTGCATAAACCCAGCTATTTAAAAATCATGAACAACAACATGCAAGGCGATAAATGCAGGCAATTGTTTTTAGGCTTTGAGATTTCTTATTCCATCTAACAAAAGCAAGAGCATAACTAAATCTTGTAGTTAGCAAAGGAAATCACAACTCACATGTTGAACCACTCCATCCTCGCCACAAGAATAGAATATATGAGCACTCCCAGGCTCAATAGCCAACTTATGAACTTGTGATTCCTCATGTTTTCCTAGCAATATAGTCTTCACTTCCCCCCCCTTCGAGAATTTGAGCTTGCCGAACCTAAAATTAAAAAAAAAGTTCCTCATCATGAATAAACAATACAAGTAGCATGCCATTACAATCACACACACTAAAACCTCTTAGCAAAATAAGTAACTCCTGAATTCGGAACACCAGGAAACGTCAAATGTGCTAAATCTTTAAAACAAAAGCACAACAAGGTCACTCATTCCAAAAAGGAGAAGTACAAGCAAAGCAGTAAAAAGATGACAACACATCCCGTGCAATGCACATCATAAAATCTGGCATGCTAACATCCACTCAATTACTTGGAAAAGAGATCTTTAAAATATAAAAATAACAATTCCAAAAAAACTAGTATCATCTCCAAAATTAAAAAGAACTTATTTTTAAAGTTAAACGATAACAAATGGCACACCCTTTTCAAAAGGGCCACGAATTGCAACTAAAAATCTATCGCTGACATCCACTCCATCACTTGGCTAAAAAATCACTCTTTTTTTCCTTTAAAATACAATGACTGAACCCACAATTCGAAAATGAATACATCTCCAACAAATAAAGAGAACCCATTTTTAAAGAAAAGAGCATACATGCAGACCCTTCCAAAATCGAGCACATATTTCAACTAAAAAGGTAATTTTTCAAATGAAGCATCAACATCCTATCGCAAATATCAATTAAAAATTTAGGCCTTCTTCACAATCACCAACCCACAAACGCAAAGAAATGGAGGAATTCTACAAAAGAATAATGAATTTTTTTTATTACATTTAATTTTATTCACCTCGCCAACAGCAGCACAGGTAATAATAGTTCGATCGTCAGAAAAGGGCATGAAGTTGGCTTGAAACACGTTATTATCGTGACCCGAACGAAAGGATAGCTTATCACGCCCAGTTTCCCAATCCCATAAAAACACCCGCAGGTCATCTGAGCCCGACACCAAGATGTCACCACCTGCATTGAAACTCAGCGTGTTTACACATCCATCGTGCTTCTCTAACTTCTTGTGAATTTCAAGCCTCGACACAAGATCCTAATAAATAAATAAATAACAGCCAAACACGCCCTTAATTAATTATAATAGCGAAATATAATGAGAAAAGTGGTATCGGTGAGTGACGGTGAGTGACCTCGGAAGCGGCGAAGCGGTGAGCGAAATTGCGAGTGGAGAGCTGGCCGAGTTCGCGTTTCCAAACATTAACTACTGCTTGATCGATGTCCTCGCTGCTTCTTTTTTTCATCTTCTGGGTATGATAGGTGAGTTGTGTTGGGAATTTCGATCGGTGATGTTCTGATACTTGCTCATAGGAGGGCCAAGTACACTGACACAATATTTAACATGGTTCGACAAAACCGCCTACATCCACGGGAGAAGTCAATATATTTAGAGATAGAGAAAGAATACAAAACAAATACATGGAGGAGGAGGATTAC